TGTGTCATCCAATCGGGAAGATAAAGGAGGAAACATACAATTTCCAAATCAAGGATATTTTTCGAGATTATTTTTGGAAATCGTAAAAAAATTAGAGGTGAGATTTTCGCAATATTTATTTACGTATTATTTGCACATCCATCACTGTCTATCTATGTTTAAAATATGTGAATTTGCAAAATTCGCTTAAACAAAGTTTATAACGTTAAACTTGGGGAAATGACTGATTTAGCAAAAATTATGGAATGTAATCTAGTAATTAGGCAATGTAATTGCAAAAAAAATTCTTTGCAAAATTTTGTACCGAATTTTCACTCTGGTTCATAATCTATTTATAAGAATAAAATGCCAATTGTTTTTAAAAATTGTAATGACGTCGACCTTCGGAAAAATTTTGGGGAATGGAAAAAATCTGATTTAGCGAAAACTATGTAATACAATCAAGGAATATTTTTGATTGTAAATAGATAGATAAAAATGCCTCGTACAATTTTGCTGCAAAATTGTCAGCAAAATTTTTTGCACCAAATTTTTGCAATATTTTTTACTCAACTGGTAATAAGAACCATTTAATATCTGTTTGTGAATATGCGAGTTATAATTTATTTAAAAAACGGTAATTACGTCAAACTGGAAATTTCGGATTTAACAAGCAAAAATTTAATGCAACCTAATAAAATTGTAATCAAAAATAAAAATTTCGGGTGAAATTTTGCACCAAATTTCAGAAGCTGAACATTTTCTATCTACTTATGAGAAAACGAGTTAGAATTGTCCTTAAAAATGGTAACGGCCTCGAACTCGTACAAAATACATAAAATTTTCGCAATATTTTTTTTTATGTCGGTGAATTTTGTGCTGCAAATCCACCAATCATCTCCCTATTATCGACTGTGTATGTACGTGAATTTGCACAAATTAAAAAAATCTAATCATGTCAATCTCATGGAAAAAAGTTGTCCTTCGATGTGCACGACTTGCTCGAGTAGCAGAAATCTGACATTTTTTGCACGGAATCTGGTTAATTTTAATGGTTATTTCTCCTCCATCAAAATAATTCGGGGAAACCGAGTGGAACCTGAAAACTACTTCTTTCCCCCCCACAGAACTCAGACTCCCCCCATTTTCTTATTCCCCATCACTCTCTTCGTCTCGGCAGTCTTGATTGGTTCAGTAACTCAAGAGAGTGGAAATAAGCAGGGAAAAAGTGTTTGATTTTTAGCCATGGGTTTTATTCTCGCATTTTCCCTGGCAGGGTTTCACAGCTAACTTCTTGCCATGATTTTTTCCTATAAAATCTACTCGTTCCTGTAATAAAATTAAGAAAAATTGGTTGACAACATTTGTACCTTTACCAATTTTTAAAAATATGCACATATAAATTCCCTCTTCCCACATTTACAAAATTCGTATTACAAAATCATATATAAATTTCCAACTAAATTCTGAATTGTTCAAGTTTTTCAAAATTGTTTTAAATTTATATTTACCCCTGAGAAGATTAATCTAATTGTGAAATTTAACTTGTTCGTTATTCGTTATTGTTATTAATCGACGTTAAAGCTTGACAAAATTTAATAATAATAAAATGTTTTACAAAATTTAGAAATATCTCGAAGGAAAATTAGCTTACAATTTTTTATAAACTTTGTTTTGTAAAAGTTTGTAAAATCATTTTACAAATCGCACTAATTTACCAAGTTACCAAGAATTGTCTCATCAAGCTTTCTATCAAGTCTAGTTTCAAATTCCCAAAAAACATCACAATTTCTCCAAAAAAACATCTCATCGACCCCAAAACCCCCAAAAACTCTCATAAACACATCTAATCCAAACTCTGCCCTTCTCTCTCCCAGAGAAAATAATTCCTTCCTTTTTTTTCTCTCTCTCTCTCTGCTTTCTGTTTGATGGAGGAGGTGGTATTTTGATTTGGTTTTAGCAAGAGGGCCAAGCAAGTAGCAACATACAAACATAGTCGTCATCTCTGTGTCGCAGTAGCCCCATTGTTTTTATTTCAAAGTACTTCTCCTGGTCACGGAGTAATGCTTTTACGACCCTCGGGGGCAAAATAAAGAAAATGAAACACTTGTAGAAGAGAGAAGAGAAGAGAGATCCCCCGTCCAAGATCCAGATCCACCAAAAACAGAAGGAAGAAGGAGAGATCCACTCAAAAAAGTAAATCTCCTCCGAGAAGGAGAGGAACCAAAAAGGAAATTGCTTTTTTCAAAATCACGTCCTCCCCTCGACTTCCCTTCATCATTCACTAAACCCCACGAGGAAGTAAATTTTACTGAAAATTCGGACCAGTTTCTGATCAAATTTCGTGAAAAAAAAATCTAGCGCAATTTTGTTAGATGGAGAATTTTCACACAAATTCAGACCAACTTCTGATCAAATGTCATGAAAAAACTAGTGAAATTTTCCCGAAATTCACACTATATTTTGACCAAATTTCATCAAAAAAAACTAGCGCAATTTTTCAACCTAACACAATTTTCAAATTTATCTATCAAGTTACACCCACCCCACGGGCTAACTATGTAACCAGAAATATCACGCAGCATCGCCTCCCAAAATCCCACTACGGACTAAATTTCGCAGAAATTCCCATCAAATTTCAGAAAACAACTTCTTACTTAGAAAAACTAGTGTAATTTTGTAAGCTATCGAAATTTTCGAATTTATGAGTTACGTTACACCCACCCAGGTACTAAATACTTTCTCAGATTATTCGCAAAATTTAAGCGTAGACTGCAAAGGAGGGTCATACCTATTTCAATCATACCAATAATATTTTCCTAAATTTGCCACGATCGTCGTCAAACCTCCTCTTAAAAAAAGATTCACACACATTCCCCAATTTTATCATCAATTTCACTTTCCTAAACTTTTAAACAAAACTGGTGCAATTTTTGTAAACTGGGAAATTTTAAGAAATTTTCAAATTAATGAGTTACACCGACCCACGTGCTAAAAATTTACTCAAATAAATACCCGCAAAATTTGAGCCCAAACTGCAAGGGAAACTAAAAATACCAGTGATGCCAACCTATTTTCCTGATTGAAATAATCTATTCCTATTTCCTACCTTTTCTTACCATCGTACCGTTTCTTTTCATCCCTCCTCCAAAAAAAGATCCACTAACATTTCCCAAATTTTATCATCAGTTTTACTTTCAAAAAAGTTTTAACAGGCTATGCAATTTTCAAATTTATGGCTTACACCTACACGTGCTAAATAGTTACTCAGATAAGTACTCCCAAAAATTAACAGCAAACTACAATGGAAATGAATACTGCAATGCAGGAAGTTTGTTCTAACCTAATTCAATCGTACTAATAATCATTTCTTAATTTTCTTTACGATCGACGTCAAACCTCCTCCAATAAAAGATCTACGCACATTCCCCAATTTTATCCAGCATTATGTTATTCATCTCGTAAAATGTAAATTATTACATTTACACAAGTTACCACAACTGGTTAACATTCCATTTTCGCAACAAGCTCATGTATTTATGTAAAAAAAATCCGTATTTTATGAGGTATTGTATTTCACTATCAAAAACTTACAAAAAAGTAGTGCAATTTTGCAAGCTACCGAAATTTTCAAATTTAAGACTTCTACCCACGTGCTAAATATTTACTCGCAAAATTTAAGCGCAAACTACAACGGAAAATTGAACTTCTCCTTTCAACCTATTCACTCATTAAGATATTTTTTTTCTTAAAATTGCCATGATCGACGTCAAACCTCATCTTAGAAAAAAATACATATTTTGCAATTTTATCATCATGATATTCATCCCATAAAATGTAGATTATTAAATTCCCACCAGTTTCCACAACTTGGTTAACATTCCATTTTCGCAACAAGTTCATGTAAGTAATGTCGTATTTTATGGGGTGTCTATTCCACACAAGACGAAACGGGTGTCTGACACGAAGAGAGGGTGGCATTGTACTATTACCCGGGTATCGGGTTCCAATTCCAATCCACCAGCGTAGGAATACACTGGATGTTAAGAGGGGCAAGCCGGGTAGTGAAAGTGGCAACAAGGGAAAAGTCTATGCATTCCGCTTTTCGCTCAAACCAGCTTGGGCGTCACCTAACTGAGGAGGGGAGTATCACTTTTTGTCCACTTTTTCACCACTAAATTGCACAAGTATGCAAAAAGTGCTGGAAAATTGCATGCTTTTATGAAGCGAATGTCATGAAAGTTATGGTATAAATGTGCAAAATGTTGGAAAATAGACATAAATTTGTACCCTCAATTTCTCGCGTAAAATTTTCGTACTATTTTTTTACCAGAATATTTCACATTGTATGTAATAAAATGAATGGCATTATCTAGTATTAAATAAATATGTGATTAAGGACATAATATGTTAGCCCGCATTAAATTTGACTACATATGTACGTTCTCTACCAGTAAAGTTGTATTTCTAAAAATTGTAAAATTTTGAGCCCGAAGACGAAAAGCAGTACAAAATATTATTTATATAAAATTTCGAAGATAAGATGTTCTTGATTTTCAATTTACGTACAATTCTGGTCAACCGTGTTGAAAAAATTCGGAGAAAGTATACATTTTTGATGAGCATCTAGGGAAAATGGTCGTTGGGGGACTAAAATACGAAAAAGCCTTAGCCTTATCCTAAGCCTTTTAACTCGTTCAAAAACCCTCACTAAAAATCAAATTTTGTTAAAATTTTGAAAATTCTTGCTCCATTAAATTCCCAGATAGTATAACTTTTTGAAATTTAATTTTTTCGCACCTCAAGAAAATTTAAAAAATATTGCAAAATTTAATAAACTTGTTGGACATGAAATTATGATAATAATGCAAATTATGATGGTATGCAAATTATAAATCTTTGTGTAATTGTCCCCGTTTTTATGACCTCCCAAAATGCAATAAATTGACAATTTTAATCATAAATTCAGAAATTATGAAAAATAATGCCAAATAAATACACCCCAACTCTCTCACGGTATCTTCCATTAGTGAAAATTTTCAAAATTTAATTAAATAATCAGACATGAAAAGACTCTCATGTTTCCTCACTCACTTACAATTACGTAAATTAATTAATTAATTAATTAATTATTATTTATCTCTACTTCCTTAATCCTTAACGACGACGACGGTGTGTGACGATTAGCCTGAGACGAAGACGACGCAGTACAAGTAAATACATCTAAATACATCCACAAACAAAAAATCGGCTTAATTATTACGCTAAATACTTAAAATTAACATGATTTTATTTTACTCGCTACAAATCTATTCTTAATTTACATACTTAATTTACATAATTAATTAACTCTAAATACAATCAAATTTACAAATTCTTTTCTTAATCAAATAATAATACGGGTAAAAATAGAGTAATTAATTAATTAATTAATATGCGGCATGTTGGCAGCAGTGGCAGAATTATGCAAAAAAAAAAATTCGCAAATTCTCTACAAATCTGTACAAACAAGTTTCAACAAAAGTTTTCTTTTTCTTAAATACAAGAACCAAAAAAATGATGATCTGTTTTTACGTATATTTATGAGACGGATTCACTCGGATTATTGTAATGTGGTAATAAACCGTGCAAATTTTAGTATTTTGAGTTGCCAAATAAATTGGCACATTTTACCGAATTTTGTAACCTCTGTAATCAATCCTGATTTTAAATTTTAATTTGCACATTTTACAGATTTTTGCAAATCTTTTTCTGCCCTGATTTTACCTTCTTAACTTTTGCCAAATAATTTGCACATTTTTTTTTACCACATCACAAAAACCTCCGTGAAGAATCCGCTCAATTCCAGGTAAACCAAGAAGTTTATAACAATCGAAAAAACCATGCAAACTCAATCAATTCACACCAAATCGAAACGTTAATAAATAAAAACTTGTACCGTTAAAGATCATCGATTCCATTTTTCGTATACAATTCAACAAAGTCATTAAATTATTAGTACATATTTTCCGTATATCGTTTTTCTTTAAATGTAGCTCGGCCAGCAGTAAATTGTAGGTAATTAATTAGTAATTATTATTTTTAACCGCTTAAATTCTTTCTTTTCGCGTGTAAGGAATATTTAGATCATTAAATCGTATAACTGTTTCTTCATTAGTATACATTGTTCGAGGTAATCGGGTTCTTGGGAACAATTTCCTATGCAATTTTATCAGCAAAATTTTTAACTAAAAGTCATGCGGTCCACGACACGTGGTAGTACGAATGTGGTAACAAAATTGGCACGGGAGGAGTTGGCGGATTAAATTATAAGCAAAAAAAATCCAATGTGAACAACGTGACAAAAAAGTATGTCAGAAATTCGTCAAAGAATTCATCAGAAATTCATTTACAATTCATGAGAAATTCGTCAAAAAATTCATCAGAAATTCATTTACAATTCATGAGAAATTCATCAGAAATTGTTACAAATTAATCAGAAATTCGTCCTAAATTCATTACAAATTCATCAAAAATTGACACAAATTAATCAGAAATTCATCAAAAATCGTCACAAATTAATCAGAAATTCATCCTAAATTCACCAAAAATTAACTCCATCTCGTAACAAATTTTAATTTCTTAAATTTAATTTCTTAAAATCGTAACCAAAACTCCGTGACAATTTCGTTACCACATTTTTCACCTCTCTATAAGTAATTTGGTTCTCGGGTGGTTTGTTTTGGTTTGTTTTTGTAATTTGTATACATAATTTTGTATCTAAATTACTTAACTATTTTTCTTAAATCTATATATTTAATTGGGAAGATTATTAATCGCGTAATGTTTGTAATGATTATCTAAGCGAGTTACACACATAATATTTCTTAGCAAAACAAAACAAAAAATATAAAATATAAAATATTGCCACAAGGAATTCGGATAAGATAAAGTTTGTGACAGATTTATGACTCAAGGGTTAAAATTAAGTTAAAAATTTATCTAAATAAAGCTGGGCTTACTAAAAAGTAGTTTTTTAAAACTGGGTTAATTCGATTCGTTTTTGTGTTTAATTAAAATTGCAACAAGGGAAATTGGGTTGGATTTTTGTTTTTAAAAATCATTGTAGAAATTATCATTAAAAAATTCGAATTCTGAAAAATCTATGAACAAATTATTTTTGTTTCAATTTAAAATCACAAGTACGGAGAATCTGGATCTGAAGATAAGTATTTAATGATTTCTGAAGGAAAATTTAATCCGATGTTGTCAAAATCTGACAATTTTTCAAAAAAATAAGAAAATATTTTTGCAAAATTTCCTAAAATCCAACCCACCATTTCCCAACGAAAAAGGATAGATATTTATTAAGTGAGAGTCGTTAAAAGTAAAAGTATTTTTGCTTAAAGCGACCCTAAATTTTAAAGCATTTTTCCCTTTCTTTTATTACTTTAGTAATACTTGGAAAATTATTCTAGTTTCCAGTTTAGGGTGAAAATTGGTCTAAAAATGCAAAAGAGACACTGTCCGACAATTTATCTTTTCAATGTATTTAACGAAATCAATTTTTTCAAAATTTTAATTTCGGTTTCATAATCTTCCAATTGAATTTCTAACTGAATTTGTCCATAATTTTATGTAAATCCTCCTCCAACATCTGTCAGCTAAATTATTAAATGTTTTGTTTCAAATTTTTATTCCGACTTTAAAAAACTTCCACTTTCTAAGAAATTTTTTGAAACCAATCTTTTCAACACATTAATAACTCAATTTTTCCAAATTTCAATTCCGGCTTTAAAATCTTCTAATAAAATTTCCTAAATAAATTTTACAAATTTCCGACCAATTTTCACCCCTCTAACTCGTTTAAAGTCTATCCCCCCAAAAATCTATCTTATTCCGGGAACAATAATATTTAATTAAATCTCGGTGATAGAAAACCATCAAAAATTATTACATCATTTTTTTGGACTGTTTCTTACAAGGTAAAATTACGAAACTATGTATTTATGTATTTTGCTGATTTTTCCGAAATATTTTCCCTACTTACTTATCCATCTACTATGTAATTTCCCTCTTCTTATCATCTTATCAGGACTGTCACTGGTTTGTTACGTATATTTTGAATTATTACTCACTTCACGAAAGAACAACTATGTATTTGTTTAAGTCTGCTATTTAATATTTTATGGCATTTTTTTTTATATAAAAGCGGTTGTTTTTTTAAATTTAACCAGAAATTAGGGTAGTATTTGGAAGGAAATTTACTCTCTTTTTCTCAAAACTCTTTCCCCTCCGGGTCCTCCTCCACCTCCTTTTTTATAATACTTTATCGTAAGTAGGTGACTTTTTGACTAATAAAAAAAGTAGCTAATTTCTCTAAAGAAGATCCATCCATCCATCATTTTGCACATTCAGTTAAAAGACAGCGTGAAAAAAATTGGGCGAAAAATTAAGAAAACTTAGTTAACGGGAGCAATATTCTTGGAAAAAATAGGGTATTTTGAGCTTGGTTTTTTCAACGGGGGTGGATTTCCAGGGCGAATTTACAGGTACGAAAGGATAATCATTTACATCGAGAAGACAGAAGTTATAAGAAAATATGGGTTTTATGAAGAAATTAACTTTTTATCGTTGTCAAAATAATATATTTTTTGAAAAATAATGTATTTTTACAGCGATAAAAAGTCAATTTAAAAAAAGGTGTATTTTCATGAAAATTTACTTAAAAAACATACATTTTCATAACAAGTAAATTGAAAAACACGAATTTTGGTATAACTGCTGCCTTATCCATGTACATAAATTCCCATCATTTTATAGCCGTAAAACCCCCTCGAAAATCCCCCCCTTTGGAAACCCTGACCTCAAAATACTCTCTTTTTCACCCAGAATTTTACCCACGCTCCTTAAAAAAAACAGGAATTATATCTCCATGTACCTACAATTAATCGTATCTCTCAATTTTTTTCCTCGTATAAACCTTCGTATACATACTTTTGTCGGTTTTTGGTTGGTTTTGGTTGGTGGGTGGGCACATATCTAAAATAATGATTAAGTAAAAACGAAAAAAGTATACTTCAAAAATGACTACGTACACTTAACCTAAAAAACCATCATTTCTCCGTATACGTTTACGTTTACATATTTATATGTACACACTTAATAGTGAGTGAACATTATCAAGATTTAACTACACGCTAGCTTTGTTTTTCCTTAAATATTTAAATAATTTCACTGGAAACGTTGAATGTTTTCAATTCTTTTCTTCTCCTTTTCCTCCTCCACAAACAGACGAGATCTTCGGTTTTATTTTTCATTTTTCTGTAGTAAAATTAATTGCAGGATTTTTTGTAACTTCTTCTTCGCAAATCTTCATTTCTTTGTGCCGCATTTTTTCTTATTCAGTATACGGATTTACAATCTGTAAAAAAGAAAAAATAACGGATTAGTTTTTAAATTTCTGAGGGAAATTTTGACATGAAAATAATTTGTAATATTTTTATATTATTAAAAAATAGCGAAATATTCCCAAATGAGGAGTGTCCAGACCCAGGCGTTTAAAGTTATAAAACAACACACTGGAGCGAGATTACGTAAATATTTGGAAGAAGGAGAGAAAAAAAGAAGGGAAAATTGTTTACAACGGGTAATAAAATTTTGGGGAGAGAAATGAAAATGAAAATGAAAACTTTGTTTAAAGAAGAAAGTGAAATTTTGTTCTCAGGTTTTTAAGGTTTGATTTATGGTGATGATTGTCATAAAATTGGGTAAACTGTTTAGTTTTTTAGGATTGTAAAATTCTTCACGATTTTTTGATAAGTTTGACGTCGATTTTGATATTTTGAAGTATTTTTAAAAGTTATAACGTTATAAGATAAAATTTGAGAGTCTTTTAAATTTGCAAAATTTTAAAACACTAAAAACTCCATTGTCAAATAAGTTTTCGAAGTGTAATTACACAGCAAATTTATTTCGTTACGGGAAAATTACTTGTTTTGCGATGTATATAAATATTTATATTTTTGACTTGCAAATAAAATAACACGTTAAATATTTCACTGAATTTGCAAGGGAAAATTTTCACTCCTACATTGTTTTTGGCTTTTGCACAAAAATTACACGCATAAGTTAAACGCCGATTTTAATATTTTTATAAGAATTTAATAAAAATTGTTGTTTAGATAAGACCAAAAATTAAGACTGATTTCTGCCTAAAAAAATTTGTTTGACCCCGGTTTTAATATTTTTCAAATAATTTAGTCCTATTTGTTACTTACAATGGAGGTCTCCCAACGTATGCTCACAGATTTGGACCAAACTAGTGTCAATCGATCACAAATATAATTAGTATGAAATTTGCAAATGGAACTATCTGCCAATGCGCAGGTTTGGCGGAGATATTTGCATAAAAAGAGGAGAAAACGCATCAAAAGGCTGGCATATTTTTCATTTTCCAAATTTCCTGCGCATTTTTTCTACTTTGAATGCAAATATCTCCGCCAAACCTGTGCATTGGCAGATAGTTCCATTTGCAAATTTCATACTAATTATATTTGTGATCGATTGACACTAGTTTGGTCCAAATCTGTGAGCATATGTTGGGAGACCTCCATTGTTAGATTGCTTCAATGTCCAATTGTACAGAAACTTTGAGATTTCTAAGGCTGATTTCTACTTAAAAAAATAAATTTTATTTGACGCCGATTTTACTATTTTTAAAACAATTTAACCCAATTTGTTACTTATAAGATGATTCTAGGTTTACGTTATTTTACAGAAACTTTTAACCACTGATTTCTGCCTTAAAAAAAATTGAAAGTGATCCCAATTTTACTTTACTGCCTTCTTCTTCCTTGTCTTCTGTACCCTTAAAACTGAACCTTTTTCGTCCCTTTTTACCTTATAAATACATAAACCTTCTCACTTTCCAAGTTTTACAACCATTTGATCCCTTGCTGTGGGAGGTAACTTATTTCCATTACGTCATCTGTACCCCTCCGCAGAGAATTTCGGTTCTTTCTTCTTTTACGAGCCTACACTTTCTCACTGGAAGCCACATTTTGCTCAAATCTCTGTCAGATGGCGACAATTTTACTGGAGAATAAAATCTTTTATGGCTTGTTTACATAGGAGATAAGTGAGTAAAAGTCTGCAAAAATTCATGACTGTGGGTCTTCCTGCTATATTGCATAATTGTATTTATAAACTGTTAAAAGTCTGGTTGAGTCAGATATCTACTTCGTGCTGGGATTGATTTGGTAATAATTTTTTACCGGTTGGTAGCACTTTGTTTACAAAACAGATAAGTAAAAGTCTGCAAAAATTCATAACTGTGTGTCTATGTTTGCTAATTTGCATAATTGTCTACACTGTTAAAAATCTGGTAGAGTCTCATATCTACTCCATACTCAGTACTGGTATTGGTTTGGTAATAATTTCCTACCGGATTGGTGGTAAATTGTTCCTGAGTGGTAAATTTTTCACTACCACGACATTACTGAATGGTAATTCCCATTATTACCAGTACCGGTAGAGTCACATATGTACTCCAGTCGGTAATGATTTAATACCAGTTTTCTAAGAGTGTATTGATTTGGTAATAACTTTCTACCCGATTGGTAGTAGTTTGTCTACATAAGAGATTAAAGCCTGCAAAAATTCATAACTGCGTGTGTCTCCCTGCTATTTAGCATAATTGTCTAAAATTCGGAAAGGTCAGCGGTCTCTGGATCTAAATTGAGATCAAAATTACGTAAATTGCTGTCCTGGTCTGGTCCAATTATGACTAATTTTATGGGTGTGCATACATACGCGTCCCCCCGTAATTTGCATAAGGTTGCTAGCTGGCCAGCCATTTACTTTAAAAAGTCACGAATCGACATTTACATACTCTTCTCATGTATGTGCATGAACTTTGTAATGGCCGTTTGTAGATAGATCAGGGCGCGATGAGATGACATATCGTCAACCATTAAACGAGAGAACAATGTGAAGTTTTTGGAATGGAATTTTAATCCAATAGGAGACTCATATTAGGCACTCACGGCAAAGTCAATAACCAACTGTGTAAACTTTGTGAGAAAGGAAAGAGCAGGGGATCTTTGCAAACTGTGTAAAAATTTTGAAAGGCTACTTTTTCTTTTAAATTTGGGAAAATCTTTGTAAATTTACTGATTTTGGGGACAAATTCGAGTGAATTTGTGTAAAAGGTTATTGAAAAATGTAATTTACTCGGTTCTTTGTAAACCAGTTGTGTTTTAAGGAACTAAATTTCCAATATATTTTTATGCTAACTGTGTAAACTTTGTAAAAGGTTACAATGTACAACTCGAGTCTTTGTAAATCATGATAAAAATTTTTTTCAACCCATTTTAGCCTTATTTTCACTCTATATCTTTCCAAAATTTACAGATTTTACACAGAAATTCGACCAATTTTAATTTCAATAAATGTGAAATCTTTGTAAAATTACAAAATTTGCCGTTAGTACTCTCCTTCCCACTTGAGACTCAAAATTTAACCAAAAAATAAAAAAGTTAGAAAAAGGGGGGATTTTAAATACGAGAATATTTTGCTGTGAGAAAAAGTTGGAAAATTTTTCGTGTTGTCGCATCATGAAGGTCAATTCATTGCTTGTTCCTTTACCGAGGCGATTTTTTTACCAATTTTTTTTTAGAAATTTCTTAAAAATTCGAATTCATCCAAATTAGGGACAACCCTCGTTAAAGGAAATTGCAATGTTGTTGTGACCTCCCAGATTTATAAATAAACCTGCTTTTGCCGCCTGAGCTTGCTTTTCCTGCTCATTCAGCTCCTTGATTGCCTGTATCTCCTTCTTCAGCTTCATGCGCCGATTTTGGAACCAAATTTTGATCTGTCGTTCGGTGAGGCAGAGTGCGTGGGCCATCTCGATCCGACGTCTCCTCGTCAAATAGTGGTTCGTGTGAAACTCCTTCTCCAGCTCCAACGTCTGGTAGCGTGTGTACGTTTGACGCCCTCGGCGACGCAGACCGTTCGCACCTACACAAATATCAAGAGAAAATTGGTTTAAAATATTTTTCGCGAATAGTGGAGAAAGCAAAATTCGGCGGAAATTATTAGATTTTGCGAAACGTGGAGAAAGCAAAATTGCGCAAACATAAAAAAGAGAAAAGCGCATGATTTTTGTACTTAAAACTTTGTAAATTGAGCAAAAGTTTACAATTTCTGTATTTTTTTAAATGCAAAAAATGCACTAATTCTATGCAACGAAATACATTTGCCTTTCAACGGAGTCTTTCACATATAATTTTTACAATGCAGATTTTTCAAAAAACAGAAAAAGCATGACTTGTCCGCTTAAAATTTATGCCAAAAGTTTACCATTTGTTTATACACCGAAAACCCCGAGGTTATTATTCCCCGCTCTAATTAATGCAAATTCTATGAATTTTATAAAGTTTACGAAAAATTGTGTATTGTCGCTGGTCCAATGTCATAAATATTCGTTAATTTTACATAATTTTCCCACCACTTTAAACATCCTTTAATTAACTGAACCACGATTAAAAACTAATTTTAGTTCCTAATTTTAACCCCGAATGTTCTCCTTCATCTTAGCAACATGGCGTCCCTTTCTCCCTCCCGTATAAACCTTCCAATCCAATCCAGCCCCCCATTATCCTACAAAGTATCGATTCCATCATCCCCGATTGCAAACTTTAATACTTTTTTACCCGGCTAAGTACATACATCCATACTACCCGGGTATCCTTCCTCCTTAGTCCCGATTTTTCTTTCCTCCTTCCTTTCTCTCTCTTTCTCTTTCTCCAGGAATAAATCCCATTTCCATTTATTCCCGGGTGAAAGCGAGCCCAAGGAGAAAGTCGGGGCTGGTTTTCCATTAGAAAAAAAAGAGACAGAAAAAGTAAAACGTAGTTCTCTTTCTCCGTCGAGTCGAGATTTATCACCAGACAAGGAGAAGAAGAAGAAATTTAGCACCACCTGCACAACTACCAGCACCACCACCACCTGCCCTTCTTTTTCCGATTTCTTACATAGAATGGAGGTCTCCCAGCGTATGCTCTATTAGATTTTGGGAAAATTAGTGTGAATCGATCACAAATTTAATTATTATGAAATTTGAGAAAGACACGATCTGGGTACGTTTGGCAGAGATATTTGCATCCAAAGAGGAGAAAAAGCGCAGAGTAAATTTGGACAGTGTAAAATGCGTCAAATTTAAGGCTGATTTTCTCCTTTTGGGTGTAAATATATCTGTCAAGCCTGATTTCCTCGTAAATATGAGAGCAAAACTAGCAAGGGCCGTCTCCCAGGGTATGCTCTCTGATTTTTAGCAAATTAGTGTCAATTCATCACAAATTTAATTTGTGAAATTTGCAAAAGACACGACCTCCTAATTGGCACGTTTGGGAGAGATATTTGCATCCGAAAAGGAGAAAACGTGCCTTAAAGTCGACAAATTTTACACTGTCCAAATTTACTCTGCATATTTTTTCCTCTTCAGATGCAAATATCTCTGCCCAACGTGCCCATTTAGATATTGTGTCTTTTCCAAATTTCATACTAATTAAATTTGCCATCGAAGGCTACTAATTTGCTCAAAATCTGAGAACATACGCTGGGAGACCTCCATTATTATCAGTTGGCTACCTCATTAAGCCCACGTTTCTTATTTCTATTCTACTTGGTCGGTCGTCGGTGTCTCTTTTCTTCTTTCTATTTTTGGGCCATTATTGACACACCAAATTTATCCCTTGACTTTCTCCCGGCACGCACGCGAACCTATTTAAAACCTTTGTTACGACTCAATTAAGGTGCTCATTATTAGAAAAGAAACATGGGCTTCAAATATTTCGGAAATACGTAAACAATTTTATCTCGTGAAAAAGACTCATTATTAACGAAACTGCTCATTTCCTCTTGATTTTTTTACACCTAATTTGGTAAATTTCTTGAAAAATGTCTTCAAAATTGGGCTTATTATTACCAAAATCGAATAAATACTTTTATTCTTCCAATATTTCCTAAATGTGTAAACAAAAGGCCCATTATTTCCAAATTGGGGAAAAACAATGCAACTTTGTTTTTACAAATTCTAAAAAACTAAATGTCTCAATTTTTCCCAACCGCTGGATGCGACTAATCTAGAATTCTACGAATTAATACTTACAATTTTCAGAAATATTATTAATGGCGTCAAATGTTACAAATTTCAAAAAATGGATACCGAGTTGTAAAATAAGTCCACATTATTATTATTTTCTTTCTCTCTTCGTTGCCATTCATCCCGATAAAGTATTTAACTTCAACATCATCTCGCAAAATTTTCGCTATTTTATCCTCAAAAAATTTGCAAAAATTTAGTAGAATTTTTCTTGTACTTTTTCAAGATCAAGAAAACAATTCAATTTTCAACTCATCATCATTGAGCCAATTCACGGAGTTCTTGGTAATTTTGTAAAATCCGTTCGTTTTATAAAACAATTTTACAAATTTCTACAAAATAAAGAGACGCCCTTGATCTGAGCAAGTTTACAAAAATTTTGGACCTAATTATCCTTCGAAATAAATATTTCCAAAATTTTGTAAGTTTACGGATTTTACAAAGTTACCAAGGCCACCGTGAAAGAATTACCTCTATATTATTGTCACTTTGCTATATACCGAAACAATCCACAATTTGGTACAAAATCTCTTAAAAAAAATATATATATTTTATCAGAGTCAGTCTCGACCCCATAAATAAGTCTTCCTTCGTTGCCATGGTAACCTTGCGTTCCCCACCTCGGCAGGGTGCTGACCAAATGTGTAAAGTTTATCGGATTTCCTCTCTCTTCCTCCTGGATAAAAACTTTTTTGGGATGAGTTGTAGCGGATGTGCAATTGTGGCGGAAGGAGGAAAAGTCTTTTTTGGCACCCGCACCCGCCAAGGGGGCTGTGCAGGCAGGATTTATGTAAATCATCACCATGGCAACATGACATCTTAAATATTTTAGCTTTGTAATATGTAAATGGATGAAAATTTCTGTAAAAAAATGTCATCATTTATGTTTGCCCTCCTTAAATCTGGCGAGGCTTTGATGGGATTACTTTTCAACACACATTTCTCAAAATTTTGCTCCGAGATAAACGCGGATTAGTTAAGCCAACGGACAATTTATGGATCAGAGTCAGAAATAATTTCGATAAAAATTTCAAACTTAAACCGCAATTAAGTAAACAGGGAAGAAAGGAATTTGAGACGTGTTTTTAAATTGGTTAAGTATTTTTGTTGGGTTAGAAATTTTGAAGGCAGGGTTTTTGTAAATTTGTCAGGTTTTGTGCTGAAATTTTTTACTCTGTAACCATGGCAACTCGGAATTTTCTATTCGGTAACCATGGAAATTCAGAATTTTCTACTTGGTAACCGCGAAAATTTTCTACTCGGTAACCATGGAAATTCAGAATTTCCTACTCGGTAACCATGGAAACTAAAAAAAAACAATAATAATTAGAGACAAATTAAATTTCCCATGAAAATTATCCCCATAAAATTCTTCCTTACAAATATCTTCCCCCGAAATACTCACACCTTAAATTCACCTCCGTTCCGTCCATTTTATGTATTTCGAAGGCAACAATGATTGATCTCTTCTCGATAAGGATTTCTCTCTCCAAACATTAGAAAGACATTAAAAGAATCCCACTTTTTAAGGTGTGGATTGGATGCAAGGCCGCGATACGGCAAGAATTTGTCCACCTCAACGTGATGGATAACCCAAAAAACAATGGTATCAGAGGGGGCCGTGCAGAATAAATGACGCCTCAGATTTTATTTTTCATGGTACACAGTTTTGTAGACAGGGTTTCGAAATTTCGGAAAATCAGATACTAAAATTTTGATTTTATGATAATTCAAACAAGATGAATTGAAATTAAGCTGATCGAAACATTCCATAGATTAAAATTTGATTTTCCGAAATTTCAAACTACAATTTCTTGTATGCACGGTGACGAAATTTCCAAAAATCAAACTGACTACAATTTTAATCTACACTAATTTTGGTGAAAATTAGGCAAAATGAATCAAAATTCAGCATAATCATCAAAAATTCCCATAAATAAAATTTTAATTGATCCGATTTTCGGAAATTTCAAAAAATAAAACTTCCATTTTCTCCATCACCATGACAACACTTCACCCTTGCACACCCCCCAAAAGATCTCTCTCCTTTCCTCCTTCCTGAGGAATGGTCGGATTTAACCAGCCCGACTGATTTATCACCTCTCGAAACATAGACACAAAATCTTATCCAATTCCATTGTTTTCCAAAAAAGAAAAAAAAGAAGGCGCAGATGCGACGCCTTCGTTTTATTTTTTCTAATCTCCTCTCCCTCAGCTGGTCACCTCATTAATTGATTCCTTAAAACAAGCGAGACGACACAAAATTTCCACCATCACGACCATTCTTTTTTTTATTTTGGATAAGATCCAATCCCTTCGAAGAAGCCGTTGGGGGAGAGAAGTAAAAAGTCATCAAAAAATAGAACAGAGTTGTGCCCCGATGATGATGATGCTGCTGATGCCGCCACATTTTTTACAGCCGCCAAGGGACACCAGGCACCGACGGTCACGGGGAAAGCAATTATCTCCTCGGAAGAAGAACCCCCATTTTTTAGGGATAGGTTTATATAGTATTTCGATCATTCCTTTGCCTGGGATAATTTTAAGTGGAGGAGGAGAGAAATTGCATCTCGGGGAATTCTTCGTCGTCGTAGGGACAAAATAAGTAATAAAACCTCAGGCGCTGGAGCTGGACTTTGTCCCGTCACCAAAAATCAAAAACTACTTATTTTGTCAGAAGCGATTCATGCGGTGATTGGTAATTTTGTAAAATCTGTACGATTTGTAAATTGCGTTTTGTAAAAAAAATTGGACAAATTTGTGCACAAAATTTTACACAAATTTTACAGGATTTTGTAAACAAACAAGAAATGTAATTAATTTTCAAACTTTAACGTCAAAAAATAAATTTTTA